AGAGGGGAATCCAGCCCCTCCCCCTGTCACTGCAGAGAGCCGTGACAGGATCGAAAGGTGAGCGAACCCGGTATGTGTTCGCTCACCTCCCGATCTACTGAGCCGACCTGTGACAGTCTCATTGTCACAGGTCGGCTAGAACTATGAGGTGAGTGAAAAGCAATCACCTCATAGTTCTCCTTTAAGTGTAATGTCCAGCCCTAACTGTTTTAGTTTTGGACAGAGTAAGGAATGATTACAAACCCATCTGTTTTTACTGTTATCCGGGACACCATTATTGAGATTTCCCCTCATTTCCCCTGTCCATGTAACAGTTGAGGGGAAATCTGCAATAGGAACAGCAATAAAAAAGGTGACTGTTTTTAGTCTTCCCCTACTCTAACAAAAAAAGAGAAATGATTGTACCAACACCAGAACAGGATGTGAGAGGAAATCTCTCTAACAAAGCCCCACGTAGCAGTAAAAATTTGGCAACGGTTCAACCAATGCTATCCAAAACGAAAAATAAAAAGAAGTTTCACTGAACATACACTTTAAGCAAAACAAATTTTCACAAGATGGATTGATGTCGTCACTATGTTACATATGGTATACATACCTTAAATGACAAGGGCGTTTTAAAACATATCTCCTATAGTGTGGCTTGCAAATATAACCTATTCTCTTTTCTGCTGTTTGGAAACCATCATCATGAGTACCTCCAATCTAAAGTTCCTTCCGTTTCTAGGCAGTCTTCCATACATAAAATCGATCTGGGTACCAAGTGCAACTAACATATCAAATAAGGCATATCAGCATCACTCTGGATGTGTAAAGCTTTTTATAGGTTGTCATGAAATGGTCTCAGCTAAAAGGGACCTGGGCTGAAGCCTGCTTTCTGCATATTTTCTGCTCTGTTTTTATATGTGAACACATGCTTTCTCAAATTTTCACAGAAGATGGGTCCTATATAGATTTAGAGTGACGCTTAACTCAGTAAACCGCTCCGAACTCTCTCCAATGAGATTGTAGTCTACCACGGGAGTGAGCTTGGAGCGGTGGCTACTTTACAACACACACAGGACCAGAGGGAACAAAAGTAGCCCCCCTCCAGAAGGAAGGACAGTGTCAGCAGGAATTCAGAGATGATTTGAGGATCTATAACCGAGTGATATACAAATAAGATACATTTGTGTTAATGGTTAAGGTACTTGAATGCATATTTAACATTTAACTCCTGAGTTTAGTGTCATTTTAAGTGAAATCACAATATAAAGTTCTTGGCACTGAATCAGTCATGAATGTGAAGCAGTATAATATGTTATCAAAAATATGCACTTGTTGGTTCGTTCAGCAATTTCAAAGTGAACTTTTCCAAATCCGAGATCCTGAATGTCTCTTTGGACGACGGGGTTTAAGGCCAACTTCGGGTGAATTTTCCGTTTCGTATTTGCTCCACTTCTGTGATATATCTAGGGGTTCATCTTTCTGCGGACCTAGCCTTACTGTACACCCTCGACTATGATCCCCGGTTTCGGAGAACTACCCTGGATCTGACCACTTATAACCATAAGTCTGTATCCTGGTTGGGTAGGATTCATGCGCTCAAAATGAATGTGATCCCCAGATTCCTTTATGTCTTTCAAGTACTGCCAATTCTCCCTCCCTCTGTTTTCTTCAAAAAATGACAAAAGGTTTTCTCGAAATTTTTTTGGTGCTCGTCACACCCCGTGTGAATTGCAATTTTCTGTATTTGCCCAAACACAGGGGTGGTGCTGGCGCCCCGGACATACACCTTTATTATGCGGCCTCGCTTTTGATTCGCATCACGGATTGAGCTGCCAAACAATGGGTTCAACTTGAAGGGGCGATTGCAGATTCGGACCTATAGGCCATTCCTTGGATCCCTCCTATCTCTCGTGCTCTGCATACTCTACACTTGTGGGATTGCTGGGTCTCCAATTATGAGATTTCCTCCTACGTTGGAACTATGACTCCACTTTTGAACAATCCTGCCTTCCCTCCAGCGATGCGTTGCTCTTCCTTTGGGCGATGGACCAGAGACTCCCACGTACGCTTGGTGGTTGCTACCTGGGACTCTGCCTTGGATTCTTCCGTCGGTGGTATGTGGTTGGTGGATAGACAGTTTCTCTCATTTGTCTCCTCATCCAAACGTTTTGGAAGCGGAGCCTATGGCCTTTGGCTCCCTTCTCTTACGGTCCTCTCCTCCTTCTCGTACCATCTCATTACTTTATTATCTCCTCTTCCTTCTCTCCAGGCCTACCGGCGTATGATACAGGTTAACTGGGAACCCCAATTAGTACTGATCTCATGCTCGCCACTAAGGCCCACGAGAAGAATGTGAAAATCCTGACCAGATTGTACAGATGTCCCTCTATCATTTCTATCCTCAGGTACCAGACTCTTGTTGGCGTTGTCATGCCTTAACGGGACATATGACTTATCAGGTGGAGTTGTCCTCCTATTAAGGAGTTCTGGCAGAGGGTACTGGATATCTATCGCCGAGTGACAGGTTCTGTGATTTTTAATGACCCCAAGATCGTTTTGTTAACAATGGTACCTGGTTGCCTGAAATCAGTGAAAAGAGGCCTCTTGTGGCACTTTCTTACGGCTGCGAGGGCGGTCAATCCTTGTCACTGTTATTTCTACCTTGGCGGAGTGGACTGCGGAAATGGACCGTATTGCGGACCTGGAACGATTGATGGCTGACTAACATGATGCCGAGGACAAATACACTATCACTTGGTCCTTATGGCTTGATTTCCGGTCCTCAATCACGTTCTCGAATGTGATTATCTCCTAGTTTCCCTGGGCTTCCCCCGCTTGTCTGTGGCCTCCTGGGAAATCATTTGTCTCTAACTTTTATGGTCGCTTTCTATGTTGGCCTTTTTATGTCTTCTATTACCTTCTCTTTATGGTCATGCTATGTTTTTCTACTCTTCTTCCACTCTCCTCCATTTGAAATATTTCCTCTCACCTATTTCTCTTTTGGTTTATCCATTTCTTTTCTGGTCTTATTTGCTTGTCCTTTCTTCCTTTTCTCTGCTATCTTTATTTCCTGTCTGATATTCTTGCTTTTGTTTTATTGTCGATTTTCTTCTACAAGTTTTTCTACCCACAGTAGTCTTTAGTACAGGCTTGCTTGCCCCGCATTAGGTACAGTATCTTTTGGACGCTACCATCTGGGGGGATGGATTTCCGAGTCACCCAGGTAGAAGTACCCACTGCTGTATACACAATTTGTACCCACTTTACTATGTATATAAGCCACGTGGCTTGGCAATCTGCTGACGCATGTTGAGTTCCACGACTTGTGGTTTTCTATGCATTTTCAATGGTGCTGTACAGTGGCTGTATTCTTTGATATGTTATAGTTTTACCTGTATGTTTAAAAAAAATCTTTAATAAAACTTATTGAACGAAAAATATGCACTTGTCCTTAAAAGAAACCAAAAGCTTGCAATGGTAATTTCCTGTTTTACTATTTTGCACTGTATTTAGAATTATATAACCGAGTGTCACATTACTAGAATTCCATTTATTTCTAACATGCAGTTAGTATTTGTAAACAAAACATTTCTTTGTACAAGGAATAGGGCCAACTTTGTTATGTATAAGGGGCACGCAAACTGAATACATTAAATATGCTGCATTTATTACAAAGGGAGCTTGTTTATGATATGATTCTTTCTTAGCCAGCGGTCTTTTTTTTTTTGCATGTTATGTTCTTTTTGTGCGGTTGTTCCCTCTAAAGAAGTATACAGTGTATTTCAATGTAGTGACATCAAATGACCACCCAATATAAAAGTCATCACTACTTGCCAAGATGATACATTAAACTGGATAATTTAAATAGAACTACAGGCAAACGCCTAAATACAGCAGTCAATCCCAATATTCACATAGTCCTGCCAGATTGTACAGTCAGACCGGTGAACTCACTTTTGCAGTAATGCAATAAAGCTTGGTCATCTTCCTTCCCACTGCATGAAATTGGGCAGTGAAGTGGATTGATAAGGTAACCAATGTTCCCACTTTATCAGCATGTTCTTCATCAGAACATGTGCAATGGAAACGACACGTAGTTGGTTCTTAGCACGGCCCCTCTCTGTCCCAGTCTGATGTGGGGTGCTAGAAGCCCAATACCAAATCAGATTCATGTACTTACGATAGCTGCATTTAAAAAAACATTAAATTAAATTTTGAACCTATACATAACCGCATTAATTGGTGAATTCATATTTTTGCCTGAAGTTTACATTTAACAATACTCATGTACTGCATCTGTATACACAATAGACCCGACACCCCAGAATTTGACTATAGTCCATGTTAATGCATTTCACTCTAGAAAGAGTTTACTCTTAAGCTCTACAATTTACTAAACTACCAAAGCTGTTTCTGCAACAAATCACGTCAGCATATGGAACCTGGTTGGGTGGGAGAAGTTATTCTCCAGAATAATTTATTATTCTTATATTTCAATTCTCTCAGCCATTCAACTGTTCACATACTTCATACTTGGTACCGCAACCTGCCCTTTCAGAGTGTCCCTGAAATAAGCCATTAAACCTGGATCTTTTTAGTATGTCCTACTCACTATACACCTACATCACTATAGAGGTGCATTATTTTATACATCATACAGCGGTTGAACATAACTTGGTTTCAATTTTAAAAACTGACAAATGAACACAGGTACAAACAAAATTATAATAACATGCTCTAAATTGCTGCAAGATGCATAGAAGTTGGCTTGTAGTATTTATAATCCTTCCAGGGAGTACTTCATTTGAAACCATATCTGCCAAACCAACCCAATATCTAAGCCAGTCTAGATAGCTTGCAAAGTTGACGACATTATTCCTCTAATTTGGTACTAGCCTAAACTCATTGGTCCCAAGACTTTTGATCACTACAGTAAAGTCATTTCCTACTGAAAGCACATTTACCCTTTACCCCAGGTATCTTCTTAAAAGAAACATAAGGTACTTTATTACCCAGGGGTTGTCTCTCACATACTGCCTGGACCCAGGATTTCATAAGCCGACTCAGGATCTTCTGTTCATGAACGGGAAACACCTGCTGGATAACTCCACGGGCTGCTAGTTCAGGGACTGTGGAATAAAGTTGAGATGCATTGAAGCTGTCGGTCAAAACGTATCAGAAACAGGTGGGGGGGGGGTCTATGAAAAATGTGCAACAACAACATCATAAACTACTGGGCATACAGGAGTATGTTTCTTTAGCAATACAAGATTCAATATTTGAATGTTTCACAAACACAATATTTCCCTTCTAACTGAAAGAACTACTTCTTTTGCAAACAAAAGTAAAAATTCCTCTGGTCTATAAGAGGTGTGCAAGTGAAAGAGACTGTTAACTGCCCATAGTAACCAATTAGCTTTCATCTTTCATTTCTGAAGCTTAACTGAAGAATTTGAAGATAGAAAACGTAATCTGATCGGATTGGTTACCATGCGCAACTGCTCCAGATTCTGTCTGCTCGAGTTTTGAGGATTTTCCCCACTGTAACCCCCCTCCTTCCCCGACTTATTTACACTTACCTTACCAGTAATCCCCTGCCTCTCCTTTCTCCTTCACAGGCGTCCACAATACCTGGATGCTGGAATCACTCTCACCTCACTAGAACTGAATGTAAGGGTAGTTTGCAGCACATGGGAGAAACCTTTTTTTTTTTTTATGCAAGGATAAGTTACACTTTAAGGAAGAATGTATCTTGTGCTTGTAGCTTTTAGACAGCTTTTAGAATGTATTTTGTGCTTGCAGCTTTTAGAATGTATCTTGTGCTTGTAGCATTTAGACAGTGATCTGCCTGACCATCAAATGCTCTCCTGAAGAGGAGTCCTCCTGGGAAGCAAGCAAGATGTAATGCTGCAGTGTCACATTGAACAAATGCTGCAACCAATATACCTCTTGCTGCTTTGGAACATAAAGTGAAGCTACAATTTTCTACTGCCTGAGCCATTTAGCTCAAAATACAAGCTCATCAGGTGCCTTCTATTCATGTCCATGTGTATGGGGGCTTAATCTTTTCCTTATTACTACGCAGAATTATCCTGTTCCCATTGAGAAGATTTCCCCTCACTTCCTGTCCTGGCAGTCACCTGTCCCAAGGAACAAAAACAGTGGGCACACAAACACTAATAAAATCCAACATAAATTGTAAACCTACCAGTCTATTAAAAAACATGAACAATTGTAACTCCAATATTATGAAATACACCTCTCTACACAAACATCTTCTAGTGAAATGAAAATCATTTAAGTATGTGCAATATACAGTACTTTGTAAAGCACAATTTTAAAAAGAATACTTTCTACAAATGCCTCATAAGATGACTCCACACATTTTACAGTTTTTTTTAATGCTCCTGTTTAATGATGATTGCTATGGAGTACTCACTGATTGGCTGCCCTTCTAGGAAGTGTATGTTGTGCAGAGATTCCCCATGTTTAGCTCTGAGATTTTCCATCCAGTACCTGATGATGCTCTGACGTTCCTATAAAAAAAGGAGGATGACAGATCGCAGGTGATTTGTGGCATACCTAAAAAAACACTCACTATGCAGCAAGGACTGAAAATGAATTTTCATACATGCCAGGAAAAACAGGATGTGAAAAGAACAAATTTGTTTCATGCTGGTCATACACAAACATGTTGTCATTGAGTGGAGGGATAGAAGCTATTCACATCATGCACACAAATGTCGTTCATTGATCAATTTGCATGACTGACTGTCCAGGATTCAGGCGTTACAATTTGTAGGTAAATGTCTTTATACCCATCATGATCAGGGCTAGCTTTGCTGATTAGTGTAAAGCTTTCTACAGCATATTATCTATGCTACCACTAATGAGCGTTCAAATTATTACATATGCATATGCATGCTGAGATCAATCCCCTCTGCTTGACCTACCGAGGCCAACATTGAGTTCATTATAGCTCAAAAGAAGCAGGCTCCTGCAATAAGCTCTAGACAAGGGAAGCAGGATCTGTGGCAGACGCCATTATTCCCCATGTGTCAGGCTTCCACAGAACCATCCAATTTCCAACTTTAGCTTGGAGCAGGAAGCTCTGTTAAAAAGGTAGAGAACACACGATGTAGGAAACTCTGTGCTGGCCACAGGCAGCAGACCAATCATGTCTAAAGGATACAAGTTTCTGGTTCTACATAATGATATGCTTCAGAGTCCAGGAAGTGTGCAGGTGGAGAAGATGGGGAGTGTTGCATTAACAATTCTAATGAAAAGGGCTGGATTGACAAGGTTGAAAATGCAATAGGAATCTCCTTATTGTTGCTATGAAGAAAAGTAATGCCCCATATGTGTCTGTTTTAGCAAACTAGCAAAATGTTTTAGACTAGCAAAAGTGTACCCTTTTCAGAAGGGGCAAGGTAGAGGATTGGGGTTATTGGGGTGTTGGCAGGTGTGTTGGTGAGAGTATGGGGGTTAGGTTAGTGACAATGGGGGGGAGCATCCAAGCACAGTTGTGGGGGTCCAGGCAAAGTGGTGGCAGAGGGTTCAGCTTGTAGATGAGGTGGTAAGAAAAGGGGGGAGGGGATAGAGGTCAGGTGCTTTGCTGAGGTGTGTTGGCACAGTACAGCAGTGGGGGCATGTGTGGTATTTATTCACCAGGCACACTGGTGAGAGATGGTTGCAGATGCAGTGTTGAAGCCAGGGGGTCTGGGGTTGGGATGGTGTGTGTGCAGACACAAAGGTGAAAGAGGGAGTGCTGCTCAAGCAGGGGCGGATCCAGAGTCTAGTCTCGGGAGGGGCACCGCCAAAAAATAAGCCCCTCCCCCCCATTTGGCTCTTCCACTGCTACTGTGCCACCCCTTTCCTCTCTCACCGCCTATGTGTCCACTGCCCCCCCAGCTCTCCCCCCGGTGTAGAATGCACTCCCCTGGCTTCTCCTTCTGGAATCTTGCTGCCGCTGTCACCTTGGGCGGTCTGTACTCACACAAATTAGGCAGCTGCAAAGCCCCGGCATGGGCTGAGACGGCCGCCTAATTTGCTTAACTACAGTGCAGCCTCTGCTTTGGGTCCTGATTGCTCGGTGCGGCCGGCCGGGCCCAGGGCGGAGGGTGGGAGCGGTAATAATAAACGCAGAGTGTGGAGGTGAGTAATGTGATGCAGTGCGGAGGTGAGTAATGTGATGCAGTGCAGAGGTGAGTAATGTGATGCAGTGCAGAGGTGAGTAATGTGATGCAGTGCAGAGGTGAGTAATGTGATGCAGTGCAGAGGTGAGTAATGTGATGCAGTGCAGAGGTGAGTAATGTGATGCAGTGCAGAGGTGAGTAATGTGATGCAGTGCAGAGGTGAGTAATGTGATGCAGTGCAGAGGTGAGTAATGTGATGCAGTGCAGAGGTGAGTAATGTGATGCAGTGCAGAGGTGAGTAATGTGATGCAGTGCAGAGGTGAGTAATGTGATGCAGTGCAGAGGTGAGTAATGTGATGCAGTGCAGAGGTGAGTAATGTGA